GTGATACCATGCACTTGCACTGTTTTACCAAACATACAACGAAAGTAACCACATCATCAGTATAGACTTTTGTTTCAGTTTATGTTCAAAATTTAATACAGTCGACTGTTGAACTTACGTGATATCTGAAAATAACACTGGATTGCGCTCCAGTGTTATTTTCAAATATCACTCAATTGCGCTTGAATGCAAATTTTGAATTAATTTTGAATGCGTTTTTTCTGTAATACTCACTGTCTACCGACTGTTGAGTTATCGCGGTGTCCAGTGACGTTGATAAAAGGGTTCAATGACCTCACAGTGATTGCCGCACTGCAGGAATACTAAATCTCGAGTGATAAGCGATAACGCAAAAGTGATGATGTACAAACTAAACTCTCCAGACCATGGATGAAAATTACTCTGAACTGAAATTTACATGTAATCCTAATACCGGCATATCGCGGACCCTATCTATCACCAGAGTCGATCTAGTATCTTTTCACCACTGTGCTTATATATAGCTGAAACTTGAAAACAGTTTGTAATTTAACATCACGTGTACTAGCCCTGCGTACAGTGCTGTATGTACGGGGACGCGTTAGGTTGATAGATGTCCTGCACCACAGCCCTGCGTTCCTCCTGTGATTTGTTAGTTTTGGCAGAACAGGGCACTCAGAAGAAGCAGCAATTGAGTGAATAGCGCCACCATGTGACTGCATTTGGTTGTCGTGACAGCCAATTCAGACCAAGCATTTATTTCTTTTACAACCATACAAGTAACAGTCATGGCTTATCAATCATATTGTAGAACCTAGTCTAGATATTATTGCCAAGAAAAGAACCTCTTTGCGTCAAAAATGAGGATCCCATCTGGTGGCACATACCTGTATAGTTTTCAAATGGAAGTAACCCCCCTCCAGTAACCAAGAAGATACAATTTTTTGTTTAAGAATAAACATGGCAATTTCATTTCGACAAAATTCTTCAATCAACAGCTAAGTGACTACTGCTCATAGCCTACAAGTGGATTAACAGACTTTACTGCAGTTCAACTTCTTTCATCATCCAAAATTGCATTTTATACCGACCCATATGCCTTCAAAGTTAAAATTGGTTTTCTTTTAACTCAGGATATAGATGTTGAATATAACCTGTGTGTAAGGTTAAATTGTATACGCTATCCATTATGAAATGCATGTTCTCTGGGAATTGTGAATGAATCATTCAGCTCAGTTTTTCCCCATTTGCTGAACAATATTAATGAATTAGTGTTTCATTCCGACTACTTGTCTGTGTGTCCCCCCCCCCCCACAAATAATATTTTCACTGGCATCTCTAATTTGCTCAATTTCATTTAGCAGAGAAATGACGAGTACTATTGTTATTCTACATGTTCACAAGTCATTGAAAATGACACAGTCCCGTTAAATTTTTGAAAGTTCTCTTTGTGCTAGTCATATTAAAGCAGAGGGGTTGGAGTCCTTGAAACTTGAGTTCCAAGTGGCGTATACAACAGATTGTTTATTTACATCAAAACACATGTTCCGTGTAGTAGTAATATGGGCAAAAATAAAAACAGGCGTTATTCGGCCATCCTTGACCAGATTTTGAAACAAATTGTCATGGACATGCATCCTAACATGTATAAAGTACATGTATGTGCCAAATTTGAATGAAAACTGACAGAGCATGTCCACGATACTGCATAAAAAAACAAAGACAAGATGCCTGCCAGTCGACCATCTTTGATCCAATTGCGAAAAAAATCGTCATAGACATGTACCGGTATCCTAACATGTATGATCCATGTACTATTTGAATGAAAACTGACAAAGCATGTCCAAAATACAACATTTTCAAAAAACAAGATGGCTGCCAGTCGGCCATTTTTAATCGAATCGCTAAACCACTGCATGTGCATATGTCCCACCATAAAGTACTAGGAACATGCAAAGAATGAACGGAATCGGTCCAAGGGATTCTGAGATATGACTCCGGACGGAGACCGAATTACAAGTCCCCGTTTTCGAACTTCGTCTGAACAGGGACTAAAAAGTACTTGCATGTAATTTAGTGGAAATTACTTATCAGCAAAAATAGCAAAATTAAACACCAGTGAATAATGCATTTTACACTACCTACTTGATGTGTAACAATGAATGGCTTCATGAAACAGCATAAAAACAAACTTGGTATGTTATTTTTTTTTTTTATTTTCAAAGTTGTCACAACGCAAGTTGATTCAATTTTAAACATTAGCATTGGACATTATTCTCCACAATTAAATCTGTAAGCAACAAACGTGGTCTTTTGTTCCAGAAAGACTTCCAACACTTGCATCCAAAATGGATGCACCTAAATTGCAATAAATAGTTTACAAATACAAAATGTTACAAAAGAAAATTCTGGAGACTTCCTGTCACATAGACCTTATCAATACAGCAGGTTGTCATATTCTGCAGTTACAATTTTAAACTGAATATTTACAATACATTTATTTAATATCCATTTCTGTACAGTTTTTAACGTCTTATTTGTAAAGATAAGCATATTCTGGTACTTCTTGCTACAATACTTGGTCCTGTGTGTACATCTAAGCACACGTTTCCTGAGATATGTGCTCCCTACTTTGTATAATGCAATCACCCTCACATTGGTGGAGGCGTACACAGAGGGAGGTAGAACTACCACAAGAAGGGGGCATCAATTCCCAATTGGTTACTATGGCTACAGAGGTACATTTGCAAAGTAACATAATTTAATCAATCAACAGAAAAGTAAATTTAAGAATCACTGAACAAGAATGTCGCAATTAGCACATTTAGCCAAGGGCAGATAAATTGCCACAACAGAAGTCAATTGTAATGGGGGAAAGATACCATTCAAAATAAACCAATACAGAATAGGTTTGATTGTAAAAGATAGAGTACAACTTTCTAAAAATATACCACAAATGGTGATTTCAAAAATTCATAGGAAATAAAACATCAACTGACAATCATTATAAAAGATTCAACAACAAGACACCCCCCCCCCCCAATTTTCGTTTTACACAACTAAGGTGAATAAATAGATAAATATTTGACAAACAACAAAATTTGTTATTTTCAATACCTGTATTATGATATAAAATTAGAAAGGTGTAAACACTGACTTGGTCAACTTTAACCTATTTATGCAAATGCAAAATGTACACATGTTTTTTGTGCGAAGTAACTTTTACGATTGTGAATTCCAGTAAACACTTTTCGAAATAATAAAATAAGGTAGTCATCAAAAGATTTGAAGAGTAAGTTGTATATGAGAACTGCCAATTCAATGCAACTATACCATAGTTTTTCCATTAGTCATATCGCTTCAATACAAGTGCATAAAACTCTAAAGCTTGTTGGTTAATATTAAGTCAATTACAGTTTTATAAAATATGGTCCCAATAATATTAATATAAATTAGCCAGCAGGCTTGCATTTTTACTGTATATTTAGGATAAAGTGTTTATTCCAATTATTCATCCCAGAGTGGTAAATAAAGTAAACTATGGACCTTAGCCAAAACAAACAGGTATTTAAACACTGCAAATTGATCTGACATGATGCATTGCCATGCAGATATAACAGTAAAATCCTTATGTTTTTTTAAAGGGTGATTTGGTGTATTGGCTTTCGTCTACACAACTTGAAGTACATACACATAATAGCTTCTAATTGCAAACACGCATTCATGTGGAGTAATTACGTAGAAGGGCGACAGCTTTGTTGCTCAGTGTCCGCATTGTTTAACTGTGTATTTTGCATGAAGACAAAATTCAGCAAATAAGTTAAATTTTGTAGAAGTAAAAATTTATCTGGGAACCTGGCACAGAGTGTCAGTAATGTATGTGAAATTTGGTCTTTTTGAATGGTGACAATTAAATGTTCTACAGTATTTGCATCTAACAAGTTAAAGTACAATAGTCATATCTTTGAAATTCACATCATCCCAGTTGTACATTTTCTTTTTTTTTTTTTTTTACAAATTCTGTATTTTCAACAAGTTGCTGCAGTCTGACACAGTAAAATCATTTAGACTGTGTTGTCTGTATTTATCACATCAAGGAAGATAAGAGTGAGTAAGCCTAGAAATCAATGCACAGATTTAACCAAGTGCAAAGTCTAGGGTTGTTGAAAAAACTGTAAATGTTTCAGGTAGCATATTGTTAATTGTAGATGTTGCTAATGAAGCAAACAGCCTATTTCTATTCCTGTAATGAGTTTGTCGACAGCTAAATTAAAGTACAGGACAACTTGCAAAAGTTTATTTTGAGTAAACAATATATTTGATACTGGTACATGTAACATAACTGTGGCATTCTTAGGTTTGGCTAATCTAAACATGTGGTGTTTTCACTCACTTTCTGCTTGAACAGAATGTAAGTTTAGAAATTTCAGCCATCACGGATGAACTGTCAATACTGATGTAATCATGGTCATCAAAGTCAATAGAAACCATGACGCCAAATGGAGAACAACTGATCACAAAGTCTGAGTATGCCAGTCATGACAACAAAAACTACAGCAATACAAGATGCAGACTCCCCAGTACCAGCCTGCCATAATTCACTGCTTACAAGATGTAGACTCCCCAGTACCAGCCTGCCATAATTCACTGCTTACAAGATGCAGACTCCCCAGTACCAGCCTGCCATAATTCACTGCTTACAAGATGCAGACTCCCCAGTACCAGCCTGCCATAATTCACTGCTTACAAGATGTAGACTCCCCAGTACCAGCCTGCCATAATTCACTGCTTACAAGTTTATAGACGACTTTTGTGTATAGTTTTTGTTCAATAAATCCCAAATTATACTTTTCCATACTTATATAAAGAGTAAATTTAATCTTAATTTTCATATATTACAATTAAAAAACAAACAAGGAAATGGGAACAGAGAAACCTCTGATTATCAGCTTGAGAAACCCTTCCAAAGTTGCAAGAAGTACCAGAATATGTTCCTTTCAAAAGTACAAGATGACGACACATTGGAGTTGAACACAATCTTTATACAACAAATCAAACCATCAACACCATGCAGTTCCAGATTTGTACAATATTCTTTGACACAATTCTTACAGAAGTCCAGCTTTGTTAACATATTAGTGTCCAGCTTTTAGTTCAGTCATGTCACTTCCATTACAACAGTTTTATCGTTCCCCAAAGTCAGAGGATTTTTGCTGTCGTGCGTCTCCCTGAAAAAGAAAAAAATCATAATATCAATTAAACTTCTTCTGTCAGTGGTTGTCTACATACATGCTGCTAATTCTATTGAAACGTTTTTTCATCATTATCAAATTATTTAAAGTATGAACAAGTCACGTCATGACATGACACATTAAACACATTTTGAATCAAAACTTGAAGTAAATGCATGTTTAAGTACAGTGCAACATAGTGTACAATGTAGTTGTAAAGTTTGTTTGCAATACATCATGTCAGAGACTAGGTTCGAGAACAGCAATCGTAATACAAAATCCAGCCATTTTTATCCAATCCATCCATACACAACCAAATCTGGTTACGGAATAGCAGAAATACATGATATTGATGAATTTTAAACATGAATCAGAATGGATATGCATATTTCTCTCAAAATGTATGCATAAAGTTTAAAGTTTGAATATGATTGACCAAGTATGTTAAGATACAGTTTAGGATGCATGCAGGCAAGCATAAATGGACAGACAGTCTGGGGTTAAATTCAACTTTTGTTCGAACAGGATCTTAAAATATATGTACTTGATGCTGTACACTCAAAATCAGAATATAACACTTTCTCAAATAACAAATTTGATTTTTCTAGTTGTACCATGTATATTTAAAATTATCTGGTGCAAATTATTGTACCTTGCTATACTGTTTGGTAACTTGAGTACTGTGCTGGTGGTCTGCGCAAGTGGTTTTGTTGCGGTTGTTGTAATCACAGTACCAATATTACCAACTGCTGCAGGATTTCTAACTTTTAATGAGTCCACTGTACTTGTTTGTGCCATACTCGTCAATGAAACAGAAAGTCCTGTACTAGACGTGAGAGATGCTGACGATGTTGATGTTGTGATTGGAAAATTTAATTGAAGAACAGTTGCAGCTGGAGCAAGGGAATGGCCAGGGGCAGTAACTGTAAGAAAGACAATGCATTCATTTAAATCATCAATCTGTCATCTGTATGTTGGAAAAACAAGCAACTTGGTGGTCAAAAGAGCTCTGCTGTCGTACAAAAACACTATGGTAGCGAAGTCAAGACAAAATTTGGTTAACCCACAAAAAAGTAGTTTGGTGGTGGCTAGTAAGAACATGTCAGTTTAACTTCATCAAACAAACGGTTCACAAAAATAAGTTTTTAGAAGTTCAAAGAAAAAGTTGAAAATAAGATTTCTTACTAAAATAGATAATTGAAGATATAGTCATGAAAGGAACAAATCAGACAGCGTTTCACTCAAGGTACCTACATATCAATTATCAAAGCAATTGAGCTGGTAGTTTTCAAGAAGAAGTTGAAAATGCAAATGTTTACTGACAAAGAACAAACAATTACCTATATGAACAGCCCTGCTGTCATGTATGACGACAACAGAACTAAAAAAAATACAACTATCGTACTAGTGATGTTTTAGGAAATATGAATGCATCAATCATGTACACAAAACATTACACACTAGTCACATATCAATATAATACAATTTGTTGACTACATTGTCATAAGAACTAACAATGCAAGAGTATACTAATAATTAACCTGCAGCCACCTTCTAAAGAGACCCTGATAGTATGGTAAAAGTAGACTGTAGGGGATACAGCAAACTGGGTGGACAACATACGACTATGATAATAGTACTGCCTGAGACAATAGGGGAATAAAATGGGACTATAAGCTTATTATAATTGTCAACTTGATACAATTAGGAATAGAATAATAAACTGAATGGGACTATCAATGACAAGTATGGTAATAGTAGACCAGAG